GATTCTATGATTCTATGATTTTCTGATTCACTGAGCCTCTACAGCCCCAACCAAAAGTGGCTAAAGCTGTGTATTCAATGCTGCAATCAAGATGCAAAAGAAGGAGGGAATGAAAGAAAACATCACGGTGAGCAGAGCGGCTGATGTTACATGACAAATCCCACAAACAAGTACTCAATGACTGGGACAGTACTCCAGGGTTTCCACTTAGAAAGCTAGTAAGAAACAACCTACTTTCCCTCAGATCTGCTTGCATGGCTTCTTGCCCATATTCAGGCATTGGTGGGAAAGATGTATAAAGGAGAACTAAGAAGGTAGAAATTTGAAAGTCATGAGAAAAGGAGAGATTAAACATCATTGTATTCAGGAGCGGCTATAGACGCAGACATTCTAAAATCACTATCTAAACCTGGCAGGGCAATGTCCATTCAGAGAAAGGGAGGACAACAGGTGCCAAATCAGCTTTAGCAATAAACAAATTCAGGTGGGGAATTGAGAAAGTTACTGTACAATCAAAAAGAGCAGCATGTCTTAATGCTGCAGCCAACAAGCAAGAATGTGAGGGAGTGTGATCTGTGGTTGGAGAGGGCTACAAAGCTTCATCTCCTAATTCTATCCATTCACAATTTTCTAAAAATGACCACTTTTTTGTGTGTCTCTTGCCACTAGTACATCTTCCCAGCTTCAATGGGAAGTGAGAAACTCATGTGATTTGCCATCCATGGCTAAGAACTGGGAAGGGACTGCAGGGTGTTGAAGGTACTACATTAGCTTGATGGAACTGTCAAGTATTGAAAGGGAAAAAGAAGCATCTATGTTAGACCCAGATCTCCCAAAAATGCCTTAGGGCGACAGCTACATCACAAAAAAAGCACACAGAAATTGTTTCAAGCGTATACATTTTGAAAGAAAGGGGAGAACACTCCATAACGAAAGCTCAGAGAAAGCAATTATTCTGAACAAAACTCATCAGTGAGCCAGGGGAGAAGCCAACAGGCAGCAGATGTGTGTGGAACGGAAGGAGCCAAGGCACATCTCACTTCTGATTCATGAAGATGCAGCAGCCTAGGTAACACTCACTCTACGTTGGGCCACGCTCAGCATGTCACCCTGGCTAGTTTCTATCTGTGGGGTATTGCACTTGTGAACACTCAATACTTATGCTTCCTTGGCAGTGTGTAAAGCAAAGCAGCATTAACTAGTAAGTACTTCCTTGGCCCTCTTTTTCACATCTCCTTAGCATCACACTGGAGATATCCACACCGTGATGCGTGGTTATACTGAATCTCCCATAAATCTAGTCCTCTCCCACATCAGACACCCGTGCACTGATTCCCCTTTCAGATGAGCTTACTGGGTTCAGGAGCACCGTCAGGAAGAGTTCACCACCACGAATGCTCTTGTCCAACTCCTTTGAGCCACCGGGATATTCATTATAGAAGATAGTGTGAGTAAAAAGACCACAGGTCTGTCGAGGCAGAACCTGGCAATATCAGAGAAAAGCAAAGTTAGATAAGAGGCAGATGCAGCAGAATCTACACGTGACTGTGTCGAAGCAGCACTCTATGGATCAATATAAAGAGTAAGGGACATAAGTGACATAGGTTCAAAGGACTCTTTTGATATTCCTCCCAACCATTTATCCCAACCACTCATCCCAGTGCAAACAAGTCAGTGGGATCTCAATTTAGTCTTATTGGTTTTGCTCTCCGTTCAGTACTGACCTCTGAATTGTACTGAGAAACACAGAAACTGGCTTTAGCCAAGTTTTTTCTCTTTGCTTGACTTAATGATTTTGGAACCACTAGTGATATTAAGATTAATGTCTCTGATGCAGGTCACTAGGAGACTGTCCCTTGGGCAGGAAAGGGGGCTCTGCTCGCCCAGCTGTGCTCACCATGATTCCATTATGGATGAATCCACGCCGGTACCGGGCAGGCCGTAGGTGTGGGTATTCCTCTGTGCTCGTTACTTGGATGCTCCAAATGGATTTCCATGCCTCATAGAGTTGTGTGTGGACAGGATAAACCCCAGAATGATGGGGGGCTACGGCATAGCCCAGGTCTGTGGGAATCCCATGCTCCTGGAAGCAGAATATGCACCTTGATCATTCAATATTTAACTAATATTCTTAATAGGGATCATATTTAGCAATAGACTTCAAGTTGGAGCAAGGTGACAGAGTAACATGAAAACTCTCTGGATTGGGAAACCTGAAATACTGCTTGTACTTCTTGTTCTATGCATCTATAGAAATATATGGGTGATTCTATATCGACAAGGACGTTCAGCACTGGTAACAGCTGCTGTAAGAACGGTTTTGTAGCTTGCAGGTGTGACAAATCAGATTAATTCACAAGCCTTGGGTCAGGCTCCTTGGTTACTACAAACTAATCAATGTTGTTAAGTGACATATCTTGCTCCCACAATGCTAGATCTGAGTCACTAGAGGAAAACAAAATTTCCTTAACTGATATAGAAGGAAAGGAAGATGACGACTAGGATCTGTCTTGTCTCTAGCAATTCAAAGAAAAGCAGACATGAAGCAAAAGACTGTTGAGGGTGAAGATATGGGGCCTGGAACTATACTAAAATGATAGGAAGTATCTAAATTTCATGGTTTTTAATTCCACTATATGGTTCTGGTTACAGTATGAATGATGACAGCTCTGCCCTGGTGGTGTACAATAAAACCAGAGCCCCTAAACGAAGCAACAGCCTTCTCCTTCCCACTGCTAGCCTGTTTTACGTTAAACATGTGTAATTGTGTTCTGTGCTTTGTCTCTCTTTGCAAAAGACTGCACTGTTATTTAACCAGGAAAAGAAGGATCCTAAATTGTTTCTATAATGCTGCAACTGTGCTCTGAATTCAAGATCATTCCTAATCTGTGTGTGTCGTGGGAACACAAGACAGCAGCCTGCTATTCCCAAGGGGATTACCATCAAAAGAACCAAACTAGAAATGAAGAGGACATTTCTTTTCAGAGAAACATGTACGCTATATTCAACTCTGGTCTGTAAGCATCAAACAGACATCGTTCCAGCAATGCAGGATGTTCAAGGCTTCCCCCTCCTCTGCCAAAACCCAGGGAATTTCCCCTGGACTTCCTAGATAAGTAACTTCCTTCAGCATTGTCTGGGGAGGCCAGAAGTAGGGCTGTTAGCACACAGAGCATTTTATACTACCGACCAGGTGACTTACAAAACCACAGTGAATAAGGATGGAAAAGGAAATGCTTTCTCACTGCCAGACTTTGTAAGTTAATTGGATTTGGATGGCAATGCTACAAGTTCACACCTTAGCAAACAAGAGCCTTGGGATTTGCACCCTGGAACATAGCAGAGCTGCCTGGGGCCATGCAGGTGCCAGGAAGCACTTCCCATTGCACAGGCAGGCGGGTGAATGGTGTTTCTTGCCTGAAGACAGCAGGAGCCACGCACCAATTTAAACTTTCAGAAGTGCCTTTCTTAAATGCAGCTGAGTTACTAAACTAGTATTTGGGTTCAGTGGGGTCTGAACAGCTATTCCAGAAGAATGTTTAAAGATTAGTACTGTAAAGTAAATAAACTGCGATGCCCCTTACCACAGCAAACTGTTTGTTGAGCTTCATCTGCTCAGCCAGCACAGTGACATTGTGGAAAAGATGAGGCTGCATGTGACTCCACATGTGAGGGAACCACCAGAACTCCTTCCTGTGTTTGAGCAGCATGTCATCCCCTTCATCTTCCTCATCTGTACCTACAGAGGGCAGAAAAGGAAGTGCAAAAACAAAAGACAGAAGAGGGGCTCAGTGTTTCAAAGCAGTGGCTAATCCCCTGCAATGCTGAGTTGTTTCAACAGAGAATCATGCTCTCTGTAATGTGTTACACACACCCCCCAATGAACATGGGGGCTGTACACAGGCAGTGGGACAAAGGGGTGCCAGGGGCTTACCTGTGTGGTAGAATTTCCCTGAGAAGCCCAGGTTGAAGGTGAAATTTGGGACTAAAGTTCTCAGCTTATTCTGGGTGCTCAGTAAAGCCTGTTTGAATGAAAGGAAAATGAAATGTTCATATTGAGTTGCTCTGTAACATTTATCTACATGTGCTCTACTGGTGCCCAGTTCAGTCTGAAAAGGTATCACAGGGGATGGGGCTAAGGCATTGTTGCCTGTGAAGCAGAGCAGCCAAGTGCTCCACATACAGAGTCTTTACCTGAAGTAGTCCTGCTGTACTAAATGATGCCACCTTAAAACCACAGTCAGATGATGCTCCCCACTTCAATGTGAAGGACCCAGAGTGTCTGTGCTAAGGCAAAGGGACAATAAGTCTCACTTCCTTACTCACAGATCCCTTACTCTTTCCAGGTTCAACCTCAACACTCCCTTCCTCTCCCATGTTGGCTGGGACTTTGCTATTGAACTTCTGCCCTTTCTCTGAGCCTACGTGTTAATGAAAGGGAGGATGGGGCAGCACATGGTGCACAGTCGAAGGAAGAGAAGTCAATAATATCGTGAACAGTAACTAAGTGATCCAAAGGGAGGGGGCTTTTATTTAGAGAGCAAAGGTGGATTCGCAGAGCTACCCATGCTTGGGTAGGAGTCCTGCCACGGCAGGGAGGTATCCCTGGCTTTGTGTCCCTTGAAAGTGCCAAAAGCCTTTTGTAGCAGGAAAGTTTCCTGGATTCTGGAAAGAAAACTCAGGGGAGCTGACATTCGCAGTCATGACATCTCCTACAGGTTCTCTCTTGCTCACTTGTGTCTGCTTTAAATGTCCAAAGTCATTCCTATAGCCAAAGGGAAGGAGCCTTGTGCCACAAACCCCAAGGTCCAGCAACATACAGAGTAAGACAGCAGACAGCCTTAACAGAAGAAAACCCCAGAGGCTCAGTATGTCACGGGCAAGTGAGAGACAAACTTCTTCTGCTGGAAAATAATAAAAAGAGAGAAGCCCTGAGATGCATGCTTTGCTGTTATCTGCATGCTTTGGGGAAAGTGTCGCTGGTGCAGCTCTCTATGGGAGAAGTTCTCAATCAAATAGGAACCTGGCAGGAGGGCTGTTGGCAGGTGACAGAGATGGTCCTTGCCCAAGCAGTTATTTAGATTTTAATAGCTTTTCTAAGAAAGCAATGGATCGGTGGCTGCACCAAGGTGAAGGTGATGACCCCTCAACAGCAGACAGCAACAGCTAGATGCAAATACACAAGCAACTTGGCACATAATACTGGGGAAAGCATAATGACTTCTCAAACTGTGCAGGGGAGATGGGCAGATCTTTCTGTATCAGCTGCCCCTCCCCAGCCTCAAGAAGCACAAAAAAGCACTACAATGCTGCCTTCACATGGTTCACACTCTATAGGCACTGTTTAGGCACACTGCTCCCTAGGTGGTGAAAGTGCGTTCACAAATGCAGACTCTCATTCAGTAGAGGGACCAGCCTTGACACCTACCACTTAAGGGTATCCTGACAAATCACCGCTGTCACTAATATTTCAAAACAGTGTTGACCAAACACTGATCATCACATTAATTTAAACATAATGACTTCTGTAATTTACTTCAATCACCCATCCACTGCAAATGTGTCTTGCAGCAAAGAAGTTGAGCGGTTTTATTCCCAAGGCAGGCAGCCCATGACCTCTCACACACGGAAAGGTGGGAAGACCGGACAGATTATTTCTGCAGTGCTCAGACAATTTCAATGCTCTCTCTGAAGGAACCAAGCCTTCAGACTTTTCCCTCGAGATGCACTTAATTGCCTATTCCTCCTCCCCACATCCACACAACAGTGACATCAAATGCAGCCTGGGACAAATTTCAAAGATCCCAGCTCCTCCGTATGGCCACATGCCTACCACATCCTTACCCCAGTCCTCACCCAAGAGTAATATTTTGAGAAATGTATGGCACATGACATCTCCAGAACCTATCACAAACTATCACAGTGCTTTTAAAAGGTGACATGCCAGCAGCACTGATGGCTGAAGCCTCCTTTGCTGCACAAGATCCAGAATAGGCAATGGGAGGTCAAGTTTCCCTCATGTAACCCTGTAAGGCACAGGAACTCATCCCACACATCACGGAGCACAGACTAAGAGCTGTACATCTTTCTACAGAGAAGCACCTCTCTGCCCAGCTGGATGACAATACCGCATCAAATTTGGGACCAGCACCTTGAACACATCGCCCAGTATCTTGGAGAGGAAAGTGCCACTTTCTTTTCTTGTCTCCAGAGCTGTCCCAAGCCTCACCACTTCTCTCTGCTGCCCTGAAAGGCACAACCAGTTCCTCATCCTCGGTTAGGAAGGTGGAGGGAGGAAAGACAGCAGCTAAGAGGCTTAGCATTCCTCTGCACCAGAGATTTAAAGCCTGGCTGGGGTTACCATGACGACACATCTGTCTGATGATAAATCCCAAAAAGCCCTACTCCAGCAGGCAGCAATCCTTTGTGTCTGGGGAGGGACCAGGGCGGAACCGTGGGGGCCCCAGAAATTCTGAGACTATGGAACCCTATTGAGTCCTGCTTTCCTGGCAGGTTTATGGCTAATCGTGTGCCATCCCTCTGCTGATACTGGATCCTTTTCACGGCCATATCCATAACATGGCATGGCATGGCATGGGTTTGAAGACACATCTTTCCCCTGCACAGGATAAAAGAGACTAAGGTGCCAAGTAAAATATTTGGAAATTTTTTTCAACAAATACGCATTCACTGTTCCCTAGCACACCGGTTCAAAGTGGTCGGTGAGCTGTAGTAAGGTGAAACAATACAGATGTGGGAAGGGGCCAGGAAGATGGCACTTCTTCTCTCTGTTCTGACACCTCTGCACTCCGTTTCTCTTTTATAAAGTAGGATGAATATGATAGTACTAATAATATCTTACAGGTGACTCAAGTGGCATTTCATTTATATCCATAAGGTGCTCTGGGATTCTTAAACGAAAGGCAATCAAGAAATGTGGAGTAGGTTATCCATTAAGATATAAAATAGCTAGCCAGATGCAAACAGATCTTCATGTCCATATTTAAGAAATTTAGTTGCTCATGTGGTATGGGTCAGAAGGCTAGCATTTTAGCTACCCTCCATTTCTAAAAAGCAAAGCTGCTTCCCCTAGAAAATTGCTCCTCCTATCCCTCCAAGTATTTCTGTTTTATATTTTCTAACTATCTTCCATTCCAAAAATCCTTCCAATATGCAGCCAAGCCCACTAGCTAGCCAGAAAGGCCCCTTCCACAGCTAAGTTCCCTGCTAGAAGCCCAGCAAGCCTCACCCCAGGAAGAAACAGATGGGGTCTCCAAGAGATTCCCAGCACTGGCCACCAGAACTCATAAACCACATCAGGGCCAGACCTGCTTCACCCTTGTCACAGTCTATCAGAGAACATCCTCCGCAACCCACAACCTGAATTTTTGGAGGCCTTCAGTACTTAGTTGGGGCAGCCACCCTGCAGGTCCAAGTGACAGACATCTACATTCCAATGCACGTTTCTGGACACAATGCAAAAAAGGTTTAAAATTTAGTCTGATGTTCCATGCCCACCACTTTAAAAAAGGCTTTTTAATAATTTCAAATTATCATAAATATTTACTTCTAAGCAAATGTTAGGGAAAAGTTAAAAATTGTGCCTTTTGTTGCAACACATTAAAAAAATCTATATACTCTCTCACTGATGGATCTGCAAAGATTTACTCAACAGTCACTACAAGCTCTTGATGCCATCCCATGAAAGACAAAAGCTCTCTCAATGGGGTTAAAATTCTAGGAGCGAGGAAGAAATCAGGGGAAGCCACAGCACCCTGACTGTACCCTCTTTAGGACATAATCCTCTTCTAAGATGGCATGGTGTCCTTGGCATCGCAATAATACAGGGCTCAACCTTCATGCTATGAAATTTTTAACTTCCAAAAGTGTTTGCAGAGATTTTAGCTCCCCTATCTCTGGTCCCTCTAAAAAGAGGCAAAAGAAAAGGGGGAAATGAAGTTGAGAGATGCTGGGAAGAGAGGATACCATGAGCCTAGGAAAACAGTACATGGACAAATGAAGAGAAACAGATGATAAGAAATGGAGGAAAAAAGCAGAGTGCTTTGACAGCCTCTTCTCAAATGCTCAGGGAAAGCATACTAGGAACATGCTGCAGAAACACCTCCTTCATGGGAACTGCTCCTGTGGACATTGAGCAGCACATTCTCAAGAGGATTTTCCGCAGTTTTATCACTGCCCAGCAGTAGCACTGGCATAGCTCAAAACAGTGCTGTCAAAAAGAGAAAGCATTCATGGTACTGGTATTTCTATCTCCCCTACAATGTTAGAATCAGGGAGTTAGAAACTGCTGAATATTTTCATTTCAGGTAAGATCATCCTCTACTATTTAGAAAGGCAAGACCTGGCTGACAGCCACCCTCACTAGTCTCTCTCTTCCACCCTCACAATTCATAACCCAAAATGAAATGACTGTCCTTGATTTTCACTTAGCTTGCTCTCAGACTTGCTAGCAATGATTGCTCACTATTTATGCCCTTGTAGAGATTACCAGCAAAAGAAGCAAAACCTCATCTACTTAATCTTCTTTCCTCATACCTAAAGATGACCAGGAAGGACCATAAAAGCCAGATCTTTTTGCATTAGAAATGGCTTGTCTTTGTTGGCTAGTTCCATGGAGGTTTGGTAAATTCTGAGGATTATGATTTTAGAAGAGACTGAATGTGGAATAATTGAGAAGAGAAGGGATTCTCCGAGATTTTGTTCTGTAAATTATGTGCAGCTCAGATCCCTGGTAAACTTTACAAGGGAAAAACGTTTTCCTTGTGCAACTTCCAACTGTTTCATTTCAAGTGAGGACTGCAAGCTCCTGCTGCAGCCCTCCATCAGAAACAGGACTCAAGGATTATCATCTTTAAAGTAAAAGCAAGCACAATTCCTTTTTCCTTTTTAAAGAAGCAAGCTATTCAGCCCTTTAAGCATCACAAACAAAAACATTTCTCCTCTCACACAGGACATCTACCATGGGCATGCATTTGATCAAATTATGTTCAGCATTTTCTTTTAATAGTCATTTTGTCTGGGAAGCTCTCTGAACGTGGACCTGCATATGGCAAATGGGCTCACTGGGACAGCAGAGTCAATTTTATACCTTCACACAACATCCAATCTTCAAACCACTACCTTGACCACTGTAATCTAAGCTTTAAGATAAGGAGCTGTGTGCTCCTGAAACAGCCCTGAAACAGAACTTTCACATAAAAGGCCAAAGAAAACGCCAGCTGTTCTGTCACTATGATATCCCCTTCTCTTCCCACGGTGAGAGACTATCAACAAATCCATGTAGTTATTTCTTGCTTTTAAAAAATAAAAATTCATTAACCTCTTGTGGCTCTGCAATCAGAGAGCTTCTTTTAAATGGATAAATCTGGGTTTTATCTGCTTTGCCCAAGATTCTCTGCTTACTGATCACAGATTATTCCTCCATTTCACCCTGTTAAAACCCAAACAAAGCATCTTTTGGAATTATCTTGTCTGGGTTTGTTTTTAACATCACTAGAGCAGCCTTTGTTTCCAAGAGCTTTGGCCACCTATCTCGTGTTTTCTCACAGGGGCCTGTAACCTGCACAAATACTACAGAGGTGAGAATCTCTGCCAGTTTGGACTAGAGGGTGCAGGGCCTGCCTAGGACCAAGATAAGATTGTGATCCTTCAAAAAAAATCGTTCAGAGCATTTCAGCGTCTCAAAACACAGGGACACTGAAGTGAAATGAAGAAAATTTTAGCATTTTCCTTAAGTAGGAATTATATACAACTGTTCCATTTTTCTACATCTGTCTGCTTGGAAACATGTTTTCTATACCTTTATGGTCAAAGGTGGCTCTAAAGAATTACTAAAGAATAAAGGAAATAAAATAAATAATGGCATGCAATTAGAGCTGCTTCAGGCATGCTGCTTCAAATGAACTGAAAAGATAAAGCTAGCTCCAAACAGAATGCAAGAGTTTCCTTTTCCCCAAGCTAAACTTGGGATCAGAAGCAGAACTTAAAATCTCAAAGACCTGAAAAAATGGAGATGAACTGAGGTATGTCTTGCATGGATGCATAAAAGATGTAGAAAAGGTGGTAAGACTCCTAGTCACGTCGAAGAGTGCTCTTGGGAACATGTAACGGATGAGGTTGAGTTCAGGTAAGGAGACACGCATGTACAACAGCATTTTGTTTTATACCTTTGCCTCAAATGGTCTGTGCCCTTGGATGAAAGGATAATGGGTGCTTCACTTTGAAGTTGTTTTGGAAACATGCTAGGGCAGCTCCTGTCACAGGCTTATCGTCACCATGGCTGGTACCCAGGGAACTCCATCCAGGACCTATCTAAGGATAAGTGCTAAATGGGAATCCAGAGTGAAAGGCCACAGGCCTCATATCTGGAGCAACCTCAGCATACCTGGAGACACAGGCAACGCAACTGCCTCTATGGCTACAAACCAGAACTGATGGGGAAGACACAAAGGCAAGTCCTTGGCTCCATGAGGCAGCATATATACACATATCACAGACTTAGGAGAACACTTTATCACATACTTTCAAGGACACAGAGAATTAGAAGGGGCTCCTAGCTTCTCACCTTCTTCCTACTTGTTTCCTCCTTTGCCTGTCTTGCTTCCCTCTCCTCCACAAAATCTCTCTCTGTGCCCTTCCCCATATCCCTTCCTAATAGGTCACTGTATTACTCAAGGAACTGCCAAGGAAAGCAAACCACAAAGATGGCATCTCTCTTTCCAATCGTGAGGCCACAGAGACGGTTCTTCATGAAGGCTCGGTCTGAGCATGTTTCTCTGGTGAATTTTTGGATATTCCCTGCCCAGGGATGGGGGTTGCTGGTGGCGTATATGCGGGGGGTATAACAAAGGGTGAGAGAAAACCTTTCTTTTCCCAATTTGGTTATGTCCTGAAAAGCTAGATGGCTAAAACATAGACTATAGCAATTTACACCCCATGGACTGGTCTACAGTTTTGCAATATAATATATACAGTTTATATATATCTTAATAAATAATAATATAATAAATACAGTTTTTCTATTCTATTCTAACACAATTTGCCTTTTCCTTTTGAAAGGTAGAGTTTACAGCTACAAATAGACTGACAGAGGAAATCTGCATATGCTTGTTCCCTGTGTTAAAGAGGAGACAGGATAGACCACTACCGGCATCCTCCTTTTAAATTCAGAGATGCCAGCTACAGGTCCCAGAATTAAAAATGCTCCATTTAAACCTGGAAAAACCGTTGAGAGCATCACATACGGTGCCTCAGCATCTTCACAGGCTACTTCTCTGTTTAAGGTGAGAACAATTGCAGCAATCAACTCTTTCACTCAAATTAAATGCAACCTTGACTTTCCTGGCATACCACACACACTAGAAATTTGTCTGGGGCCTGTAGTTATTCTGGGAATTTACCTCTACATCAGACACTTTCATGCGAGTGCCCTCTTTTCCCACAAATATATCATCAATGTCGACGAGGATATAGCGATCAAGTGTGAGACAGAGGCGCTTGCCAGTCAAGTAGGCAATGGCATCCACGAAAATGAGTTTGTGCAGCCAAAAATTGAGGTTATTGCCAAACAGAACCCGCTGGATCCCATCATGCAGACCCAAGTCCTGCACCACCGTGGCATGCAATGCTTTGTGGCTGGCCAGGTGAGGAATGGACTCCGAGGACTTCGTGCTGGCCAACAGCACCGGCTCATAGGTGCTGTGGTTTGACTGGAACACAGTCCAGTCATCACCAGGCAGGGGACCCTGCTCCACCTCATTAGCCCGGGTGACGTAGAGCAGGGGAGCACTAGGGTTGATGTGATAGTCCCGCAGCCCCAGGTTAGAATGTAGGAAAAGGGGGAAACCCTTGAGCTGTGCACTGAGTAGGCTGTTCTCATTGGCTTTGAAAAAGCCTATAATCCCCACTCCATACTCTACACAGTATTTGTCCAGCAGTTCTCGGTTCCAAGCGTCTAGGTTCACATATTTAAGGATGTTCTCATAGATAATAAGAGCGTAGCGTCCCCTATCTTTGTCTGTCAGGGTGGGCATATCCCCTTTGCCAGGGGCGATCTCTGTCCTGTATTTAAATCGGCTGGATTCCAGGATGGCCACTATTTCCTGCCCCAGCTGGGAGTAAATGCTTTCCACAAAGACTAGCACCACAGGATCTGTGCGTGAGGTGTCCACAGATTTTGTGAGCCTCCAGCTGGCTTGGGGTGGGACCAAGATGCGGTGCTGGTTGCTGCAGTCACTGAAGGGCAAGGGTGGTGGTTCCTTGATTTTGGGACTGTTAGTGACGTAGTAAGCCAGGATGCACATAGAGATCAGGCTGAAGGCAATGAGCAGCAGGATCAATCTGTGGAGCTCCAGCTGTCGCACGTGCCGCACTACTTTCCACAACTGAATCATGGTGAGGCGGGCTGCCCACCCCCTCCTCACACTCTGCACCCACGTCGCTCTTGAAGTCTCCAGTGCCGCCGTGGCAGTACCCAGCAGCAGCTCGCAAAAAAGAAACAGCAGCTGCGGAGAGAGACAAAGCTAAAGCAAACAGCTACAAGGCTAGATTCCCAGGGATCTGCCATTTATCTCAAGTAACCATGGCCCTCAATTCCCATCGCTCTTTTGTGTGCTTCCTCCTGTTCCTCTCCTCTCACTCAGGAAAGTCTTTTGGAGGAGCGGGGTTTCCTGAATCTCGTCTCCAACAGCAAATCAGTCTGTCATCCTGTGCACAAGCAGTTTCAGCTCAGCCTTCCCAGGTGTCCTGTTTCTCATTTAGCTGTTTCGCATTCACATGATGGCACCTTCTCTTCGCATCCTGCAATTTAAAAAGAAAAAGTCAATTCTCAGTATGGATTCATGGTATTTAACAGGTTTGAAATGAAATGGCAGGATCAGCAGGTGCTAGGTAGGCAGCATCACTTGCCTGTCAGCAGGCAGACCTGTTCCCTGGGAAGTGACGCACACCATTTGTACAGGAGCTTGGCAGAACAATTGTAATAGTCTTTGGAAGAAAGGTCCTGCCAGTGCAAGGGGACTCAGCATTTGCCTTGGGTGAGATTCTCACACACTACAGCAAACAGAGCCATCATACCTGGCCTTTCCCCACTCCTTTCTATGCCACTGAACAGAAAATATGAACCCCTTTTATTTTAGCCTATATTTCAAAATTAACAAGAGGAGGAGAGAGCCCTCACATTCTCTGTCTTGTCCTGTTCTTACACTAACGATGATGTGTCCGAGTCCTTGCCAGTGACTTCCTAGGCCCTCTAGATACTGCTGTCCCGAACCCAGCAAGATGCCTCAAATTCCCATCAGCTCTCTTGCCCCACAGCTCCCGATTTCCATGGTTCCTACCCCTCTCTACAAGGCCACCCCACTTGTCCTGGGAACTCGTGTTCTTCCAGGGCTCTCAAAACATGGCTCCAGGGGAGGCATCGTCCCTCAGGCATCACGGAGCCAGGGGGAGCCCAGGCTGCTCAGGCACTGCACACCTAATTGCTGCCAATTGATTCAGTGGCAGTTGGAGACAAAACATCTCCCGAAACCTTCCTCACCTTCCCTTATATGCCATTGAAGAACATGAAGCCAGTTTTAAATCACCAACAGCATAACATAGATTTGGGTTGGTCTCAAGTATGCAAAAGCTTCTTGTTACGAAGCTCTCTCACCTCCCGCTTTGTGTTTATGACAGCAGACTATTTCACCATATGTTGTTATTTTTCCAGGATAAAATGCTCAACAAAGCCAACAAACACCAAGCCATCTAAAACATAAACACCAGGGAAAATAACTAAATTGCTCCTTGGTTTAAAAATAAAATCACTGTGTAGTTTTCTCTCCCTTACCAGAAGTGTGACTTACCTACAGCAACAACACCCAGGTGTGCATTACTTGGGATACAGGCACATTTTTGGAGAGCACTTGCTGCCCCTCCCAGCACAGTGCAAGGACACCCTGAAAGCCAGATGTTGCTCACCAAGTCAGCCATGCCCAAAATGAGCTCTCTGTAAAAGTTAAAAAAACTTTTTTCTCTCAAAACCGTTCTTCCTCACACACCTGTACTCCTGCAGACACGTGCTCTACCACATACAGTGCCTCTAACCACCTGCCCAACTGGCACAGCTTGCAACACCAGGAGGCACAAGAGCAACAATAACAAAAAGTACTACCAAAACAGTTCTTCATCCTTTCTCCATTCCTCCCATTTTTGAGTCTTTTTGTTACTATCATTCTGATAAAACAAAGAATATTAGAAAACTAGTTTGTCCATGAATTTAAGACAGACATAAGGTTTTCATATAGTAAAGTCAGGGTTTTAACAACTAGCTCCACCAGGAAAGAAACTACTTGCGAGACAGATGCTTATTTTGCTCCGCCAGAAATTACTTGCAAGACAGATGCTTATTTTGTAATGTGCATTACTAAACAGTAAAAAATCCTTTCGAGTCAGGGAAAATATCAGTTCACAGATGAGGCCAAAAGTCCTACTCTAAAAACTCCCACCACGCTGTTTTCCAAATTGTTGGTGCAGCTTGAAGCAGAAACAAAAAAACCCAAGCAGATTTTGTATTAAGAGATATAATATTGCTAACTTTGTGACAGCGGATGGAAAAGAGTCAGAGTGCTCTTTACACAAGCCTTATAATGATCATTAAGTATACTCTCAAATAACTTCTATGCTATAAGCTCAGCAGTGCAGAGACTGGCTTGTGTAGTGCACAACGAAACCTTAGCCCCAATGAGGTCTTCAGAATAGCTGTAGACTGTAAATGTAAAGTATATTACAGAAATAATTTTCCACCGGAGAAACTGAGACACAGCAAATCTTATTGAAGGTCACACTGCAAGGCAGCAGATGAATCAAGATTTAATAATTAAAAAAAAAAAAAAAAAAAAAAAAAATCTCTGTTCCCCAGACTCCAAATGGATCAAGTCTCCGTTCCCAAATGGCCCTCTGTAATGACAGAGCTGGCTTTGGAAATCCCGCTCAGCCAGCGACAATAAGCTGTATTTTCTTCAACACAGACAACTGATCATCTTTTCGTTTTGTCTCTACATACTGTTAAAATTCTTATTGGAAAAAGGACAAGGGAGAGAAGGGGAGAAATTACTATAGACTCCAAATGGATCAAGTCTCCGTTCCCAAATGGCCCTCTGTAATGACAGAGCTGGCTTTGGAAATCCCGCTCAGCCAGCGACAATAAGCTGTATTTTCTTCAACACAGACAACTGATCATCTTTTCGTTTTGTCTCTACATACTGTTAAAATTCTTATTGGAAAAAGGACAAGGGAGAGAAGGGGAGAAATTACTATGGAAAGATGTAAGAAATAGAATTCAGATAGTTTTTTCCTTTTTTTTGTTACTGAAGTGACAACTGATTTTGAATGCATTACTCTCTGGACTGAGTGCAGGATATAACTTGTAACTCCAGTTCAAGTCAAGTTCACTGGGACTGCCAATGTACCAAGCAATAAAAGCTATATCTTTTTTATGAGGTGAATTCCCTGTAAGACACAATATATACACAGCTCCATGCATATTAGCTACTATGAGAAACAGTTTTTATTCTACTCCTATGCAACAAATCCATACAAAATGCTCCGCTCAGATGCCTACATACTCGATTTTGATTGAGAAGACCGAGAATTGCAAGTCAGTATCTTCCCAAATAGCTCACATCCTTTTGGTTTTTAATCCCATTGGATAAAATAGAAAAAATTAGACTATTTTGGATTCAAAAATTCACTATCTTAACATGTATAGGAAGTTTTTTTTGCAGGAGAAAATTATGTAAAGAGGGACTTATAAGCTCAGGAGCCCATGCGTTGCCTGCAGAAATTTCTAAGCAAGTGTTTCTGGGGTAGAATTTGTAATCTAAACACCACAGTAACAGTAAGAAAACCGAGAGTATGCTGATCTATGCAAAAGCCTGGCAAAGTACTGTACTACTTTTACAAATCTTTACCCCCAAAACATCAACCTGGAAACTGGTTACACTCACTGGTTACACTCACTCACCGCTCCAACTTGATTTTTAGTTTTGAACTGAGTCTCTATTTTGCAAAGAGCTGTAGCTTCAGTTTCCTGGTTATCAGCTTAAAGATGAAAACCACAAGACAACTGGATTGTTCTTTGGAATAAGATGAAACCAGAGAATAAGATGAAACACCTGCAGTGCCCAGCTGAGGGGCAAGAGGGAGAGGAACCCCCTTTGCTGGGCGCTTCTGAATCACAGCAGTGTTTTGATAACAATGACTCCATTCAAGCCTCTAACGAAGCTCCCAAACAAGCCCCCATTTGTTACATGGGTGAGCTCAGAAAAAACAAATTAAAAAAAAAGGCCTGTATCAGATTGCTGCTCAAGAATCCGTCAGCTCCGATCTCTTTAACAAGGCTTCACAGCCACAGGGCACGCCAGCTGGCACGGTATGCATTTAGCTCTCGGGGACCACATCAGCTGGTTTAGGTTCAAATAAAAAGAAAAAAAAAAGCAACAGAACAAATACACCAACCAAAATTTATATTAAAAGGTGAGAGACCTGTCAGAAACCACCCATACCCAAAACAGAAAGCCCAGAAGGATCTATACTGGAGAAAGAAAAGAAAAAGAAAAGGAAAAAAAAAAAAAAAAATCACACTGAAAATTGTTCTCCCTTAAAGGAGAAGAAAGTACCTGTGTCCTCTTTTGAGATCAAACTCCTTGGAATCTAACACCACAAAACCCTCAAGTTTATAGACAAATTAAGGTCCATTCCAAACTCCTGCCAGGACTGCCTGAGTGTGAATTGCAGGAGGTGGCAGTCAGAACGCACAGCAAGGATGAATTATTTCACCGGTGCAAGGACGCAGGCTCAGCAGGCTCCCGTCCTGTCACGAAAGCATCGCTAGATCAGACAGCACCAGTTGTAAGGTCAGCTATCTCACAAATCACCAGCATTAAGACAAACGCTTTATAAAACTTAGATGTTCTGTTTCCTTGTGATATACAGTGTTAATGTGAAATATAAACCGTTTTGTGAATTATCAGCTGCTAAGCCACATGGCAACTGATGTGATATGAAAGCAAGATAGCAATCAGAATTGTGTGGTTTTAACGTCTGATCTCCAGATGTTTCCAACGCTTGGAAATTATTGTGGGGGATCAGTATAAATGCTCAAGACCAGCACTCGTCCAAAACCAGTGACCAGATGTGTATTTGGGGCTGCTGGTACATTGATGCCACGGCATGTAGAAGATAATGGGTGTCATCTGACACCTTTATCAAGAACTTCCATCATACAAGCTCCTTCCTAGCTGAGCCACAGAAGGTCTTACCACCCTAAAACCCAGTGTCACGAGTACATTTCCCCAGCCCTTTTTATTATTCATAATATAACCCCTCTTTCTGGAACGCACAGCAGCAGGATCTTGCCTTTGTCCACAACAGCTCTAATTCAGAGGTCTTTCTTTGGCACTTCCTGCGAGACGGTTGTTGCCTTGGGCCCCAGAGGGACTGCAGTAATTGAATTACACACTAATCAGAGAAGGAATCTGATCGATTTTCCAACCCATTCCACTTTAATGGTGTCATCACGACACAAAATTCCTCATTTGTCTGCTTGATTGTGAGACACTGCAGCCCCTCCCTTGTCTGTTGTGTATCTGTATGCCAGGCTTCCAGGTACAGCCCCCCTCTCTCGTGAAGGTGGGGAACCTGGCAAGTAATGTCAGCAGAGCACAGTGAGCCGCATGGCAAAAGAATTAGTAGACCCTCAGGAGAATGAATGCTGGTTGTATTCCACATATTGGATAAAAAAACAACTGTGGAAATGTAATGTAACTGCCAACCAAGCTCGTTTTTGGGCTCTGGGCGAGTGTTTCAGTTAGCACCCACTGCCAGTCAAATCCTGCAGAGAGATTGCCTAAGGAATACAAAACTCAGATCAAAGAGGCAAGAAACACTAATGGTGCCCATGCTGCTCCGACAGACAGGCTTGCAGCCTCCAGCCAGCGCTGTGCTCTGCTTCGGCAAGTCCCCGTGCAGGGATAGGCCTCTTTCGGTACAGACCTGTGGTAAGCCAGAAAGCTGCCAGCTGGCCAGCAGGCTTGAAACGTGTCAGTCTGATATAAGAGGAGAAGACCTGTGCGATGAAGTAATAATTTTTTTTTTTTTTTATTATCATCCCCAGACAGGTATGTAACTTCACACCTTCTGCAAGAGCAACAAACTGCAGTCCAGCTAAACAGATCTGCATGAACTCCTCTCAGCCCAGCCTGGTGGAAACCCAAACACAGGCTTGAATTTACCCTTGTGCCAGTGCAATGCAGTTTGAAGGCACCATGAAGGCACAGATCTTGGAGAGGCCGGCTCATGTTGCCAGACCAGCTCCATGGGGGGCTGCACAGTGACCTCATGATTCCTGCAAGGTTCTTGCTGTTGGGATACATGATATATCCCTTCCACTGATAACCTAGTTTGCAGCAGATCTTTGTTCTCTTACTCATTTACAGTACAAAAAAAGAAACAACAGGTTTAGTCCTTCCTGTGCCAATGACAGAGGCACGGCCCAGCACTACCTGCTAGCCATGTAAACCAATCCTTTCCTCTGAAAACAAAAAGGTCCTCCTTATAAGAGCTTCCAGGAAATCTGGTTTTCAGCTCCCTGCCATCTCCCCATCATATTACACCCACTGCTTAGGGTCATTACAACTGACCTGACTAATTTTCAAAAGCAAGGGAATTTCAATCTTTTACACTGAGGTATTCCCTCCAGTTGAACGTCAGCACAACAAGTCCTGACATGTTTCACCATCTTGGCACAGGACAAATTTCAGAAGGGAAAACAGTTGTTTATTAGCCTCCCTAAAGATCAGATGTGCAAATCAGGAACCTGAAGAATTGTTTAAAAAACAATCAATCAAACAAAGTTTCAGCCTTCAACAGTTGCTGATGCTACCTACTTAATAAAAATAATATGTAGCTTGGCAGCTGCGCACCTTTGCTGGAATGAAAAGGAAAGGAAGCCCCCTTTGCTGGGGCTGCACAAGTCTCTATAATGCAACTGCTCATATGAGAGAGAGGAGGCTCTCTCCTCAGAGATAACCAAAGTGGCATGCCCACTTCTTTATTTCACATATTACTGAAGTTCTAACAGCCAGGTATCAGGTCACCACAAGAACTGCACAGTTTCATTCTGGAAATTTCATTCATTACCCTTCCTTCTGTTTTGTGCCTTTCCTGACACATAGGTCTATGCACGCTCTGACCCTAACCCTTTTCCCAAACCAGGTGATAACGTAAGACACCAGCTCCTTTCTGCAAGCCAGCCACTTGGAGCTGTGGGACGGAGAACTAGAGTTAGCGCAGGTCAGAGCCTGCCACACAAGGGCACTCCAGGTTGCTCTCCCATCCCACCCAGGTGGGAAGTGAGTATCTCAGTCACCCCAAATGGTGGAAACAGTCACACCATCTTCAGCCTCCTCCTTACATGGATAATCAACAAGTATACTCTACCATGGCAGAACATCTTCAACTCAACGGTGAGAACAGGAAATAAATGCAGTTCCTTCCGCATTAGATATGGACAAGGATCTAATTTCCATTCCCTCACGCACCCTGCTTACCACAATTCAGATAAACGATCCTGCTGCAGAAAGCCTTCTCTGCTGTCTTAAGTAACTTAATCAAGTGGGGAAATACAGTCAAACTGTGGCAAAACCAAGACATCTCAGTGTCAGTCAGAGTTTAAGTGTCTTAATATAGAAATGTACGTTATGAGAGTTTATCTGCAATTGCAGACTAACCATTATTCCTTTGAGCTACCCTTCAAAAATTTAATCTCAATTAGCAAGAGGCTGATCTTCTATATTCAATTGCTTCCTCCTGTCAGGTAACACATAGGAGCTAATCTTCTTTTCCAATCTATTTTATCTAGGAACATATGACAGTAGGGAACAGGTTAATACTGTTACACTAAAAGTTCGTCCAAACTGACACCAGAAGAAAGCTGTAAGTATGCTCTACCAAAGCATAAAACCTCAGGAAAGCCTCTTGTGCTTACCTGTTCTTGTGTATCTGCACCAATATTCACATGGTCAGAATTTGCTGGGCTTGTAAAAGAACGAGTTCCCCGGCTGGGTACAGCAGCTCCCTCTTCCTGCCTTCAGCTGAGGTCGTCTATTCAAAAGACCTCCATCCAGTGTAAAGCTAATGGCGCATCTCACAGTCTTTGTTGTTTCTAATATTCAGTTCTCTATTACCTTGGTGTGATTGAAATAAGTAAGTCTCCTGGCCTCAGAAAACAAAATATTCACATTTTCGCTGGCTTGGCTATTGTAAGACAGCTTTTAACACAGTGAGGGGAAAATGATATAAGCAAGCTATAAATCTGGCCTAGCAAAGGCAAAACAAGTAAAAACAAGCAGAGGGAAGAAGAGTGGAATGAGTGGAAAAGGGATGACTTGAGGTCTATGGAGATTACACAGGCTGGCTGAGACAGTGGTTTGGAGGCCTGGGTTTTGCAAGACAGGAACAAATGCCAAGTGCTCTTCTGTTCTCACTAAGCCTTCATGGCCACCTGTGCAATGAAAATCATCATCTGGTTTTTCACAAGGGTTATGGCAGAAATAGATCTCGAGCGGGGGACTCTGTAAGGAAGACTGTCAGGGCCCTGCATACACCAGCAGCCTCTGAATGCCCTGCCCAGCCTCCACCTACTGACCTGCCAGCTGTACCTGAGCTCAGGCCATGACCTGAATGAACTACACTACAAGTATGCTCTGCCTTGCTGACCTGACTTTGGACCTGCCTGATAACTATGGACTCATCTGGTGATCACTGGATTCTAGGTTGAACCTGGTGGCTGTCACCACCGCCTCTATTTGTCTTGTTTGGGTACTGTTGCTGAGGATGCTGCCTGTGCCAGAGGAGGAGGAGGAGGGTGGATGGAGACCCCATGCACGGTGGGTCAGGGCAACTCCAGCCTACCGGGGTCCTTATGGCCTTGATGGACTCTGCAGCAGCTTCTCATGCTAGTTAGTTTTCAATGCATGAAGGATTGTGACAGCAGGAGGGTGTCTGCTAGAGAAACAGGGTGATAAAGAGTTGCGGCTATTGTTAGACTTCCTTCTCTTAATGTGGGAGGAATTATTTAATTTTCTCTCAAACCATCTGTGTTTGTAATTGTTATAAAATCAAAGCAACACAGGCAATGCACACTTATTTCCACACCACAGTTTACACTATGCCATGTTCACTACATTTTTAAACAAGAATTTCAACGCTGTACCTTCTGTTTCCCTTGTAGAAACGTTGTTTTTAGACAATCAACACAGAGAAATAAAACTTATTTCAAAAGACATGTCTCAAATACATTAATTCTTTTTAAACTGTACTGTAATTACACATCACTAGTTCTTCACCTTCCTCCCATTTTATAGACTTAATTGCTAAAGTAGGTGCTACATTCTTACATTTTTAATTAGTCAACTGATTAAGAGTATAATTTTTTTCTAATATGGAGCTGCATCTTTAAAATACTCCTTCATGCAGAGTAAGTCCAGGACCTCATTAACAGTATAGACAAACTCAGGAACAAAAGCTGCCATATTTGCAATCAAATCTACCCTCTGATAAAACTGAAGTTTTGTCAGAAAAGCTCAAGAATTTTGAGCAAAATGTACATCTCCATTAGGGACTGCAGCTGAAGACAAAAGGATCTGGGTACTGAACATTGCAAGGTGCCCAGTTACAGGTTTTGGAGACTAAATCAGCTATCTAGG